GGAATTCTGGGGGTTGAAGTCCACAAGTCTTAAAGTGGAAAAGGTTGGAGACCCCTGACTTAGATGGCCCTTCTGGTCTCTTCCAACTCTATCATTCCTGGCTGGCTAGGGAATTCTGGGGGTTGAAGTCCACAAGTCTTAAAGTGGCCAAGGTGGGAGACCCCTGACTTAGATGACCCTTCTGGTCCCCTCCAACTCTATCATTCATGACTGGCTGGGGAATTCTGGGGGTTGAAGTCCACAAGTCTTAAAGTGGAAAAGGTTGAGAAGCACTGATCCTACAGTGCGAACCAGAAGCATTTTCCTCTTTGCACATTTTTCTCCTTATGCATCATTCTCCCTTTCCTTTCGTCGTCATTCTGTGTTTCTTCCGTTCTTTGTGTCATTTTATGGAATACGCAAAGCAAAACGGAAATAGCTTTGGAGTAACCAGCAGCTTCTGCTTCCCTGCCGACAGAGCTACGAGATCCGGATTCCAGCCGATCAGGGCATCGCCGGCCACGTGGCCACCACCGGCAAGATCCTGAACATCAAAGACGCCTACTCTCACCCGCTCTTCTACCGCGGCGTGGATGACAGCACTGGCTTTCGCACCAGGAACATCCTCTGTTTCCCCATCAAAGACGAGAACCAGGGTGAGCAGCCCCTCCATGGTGGAGATTCGGGGGTCCTGCGCCCCCCTGGCCGAGAGGCTGCCATGACGCCTTCCCAGATGGGCATTTTGTCTTCCCAGTCACTGAAAGCGCTCAGAAGGAGACACGGGAGGGAGGGGGGGAGGAAAGAAAGAAAGAAAGAAAGAAAGAAAGAAAGAAAGAAAGAAAGAAAGAAAGAAAGAAAGAAAGAAAGAAAGAAAGAAAGAAAGAAAGAAAGAAAGAAAGAAAGAAAGAAAGAAAGAAAGGGGTGAGCGTGGGAGGAAGGAAAAAAGAAGAGGAAAAGGGGAGGGAAATAAGGAATAAGGGAGAGGAAGAAAGGAAAGAAAGAACGAAGGAAAGGGGGTGAGGGAGGAAGGGTGGAAGAAAGGAGAAAAGAAAGGAAAGGGAAGAAGGAAGAAGGGAGAGGAAGGAAGGAGGGAGAAGGAAGGGTGGAAGAAGGTAAGGAAGAGAAGGAAGAAGGGAGAGAGGGAGGGAGGGAGGAGGAAAGAAGGAAGGAAGGAAAGGGGGAGAGTGGGGAAGGAAGGAAAAAGAGAATAAAGGGAGGAAAGGAAGAAGGCAAGGAGGGAGGAAAGAGGGAGAGCAAGGAGAGGAGGAAGGGAAGGAAGAAGGGAGGGAGGAAAAAGGAAGGAAAGAAGGAAGGAAGGAAGGATGTAAAGGGGTAGAGCGAGGGAGAAAGAAGGAGGAAGAGAAGAGGGAGGGAAGGAAGAAGCAATAAGGGAGAGAGGGAGGGAGGGAGGAAAAGGGGAGAGAAGGAAGAGAAGGAAGGGAAGGAGGGAGGGAGAGAGGAGGGAGGGAGAGAGGAGGGAGGGAGGAAAAAGGAAGGAAAGAAGGAAGGAAGGATATAAAGGGGTAGAGCGAGGGAGAAAGATGGAAGAAGAGAAGAAAGGGAGGGAGGGAGGGAAGGAAGGAAGAAGCAATGAGGGAGAGAAGAAAGGGAAGGAGGGAAGGGGAGAGCAAAGAAGGAAGAAAAAAGAGAATGAAGGGAGGAAAGGGAGGGAAGGAGGAAAGGGGAGAGCGAGGGAGAAGGAGGGAGGAAAAGGGAAGGAAAGAAGGAAGGAAGGATGTAAAGGGGTAGAGCGAGAGAGAAAGAAGGAAGAAGAGAAGAAAGGGAGGGAAGGAAGGAAGGAAGAAGCAATGAGGGAGAGAAGAAAGGGAGGGAGGAAAGAGGGAGAGCAAGGAGAGAAGGAAGGGAAGGAGAGAAGGAAGGGAAGGAGGGAGGGAGGAAAAAGGAAGGAAAGAAGGAAGGAAGGATGTAAAGGGGTAGAGCGAGAGAGAAAGAAGGAAGAAGAGAAGAAAGGGAGGGAAGGAAGAAACAATGAGGGAGAGAAGAAAGGGAGGGAGGGAGGAAAAGGAAAGAGGAAGAAAGGAAGGAAGGTTTAGCTGGCTGGGGAATTCTGGGAGTTGAAGTTCACCCATCTGAAAGCTGCCAAGGTTTAAAGCTGCCCCTTTCCTGAACTCCAGTCCGAGCCCTTCTAAAACCAGGTGCTGACCAGAAACCGGAAATTCACCTGAAGAACTTCCTGGATGCAGAAACGGACTCTGCCTAAAATGTCTTTTTGTCTTCCAGAGGTGATTGGAGTGGCC